TTGGAGTTAACGTTGGCCGCAAACATCCTTGACCAAGTGGCACTAGTAAATAGACTAGCTTTGAGAGTACATTGTAAGTGTTCTTATTCGGAACAATGATACTTTTTCACACAAATGTACATCTGAGATTTTGTTCGCATTGCTTTCAGTTTACTTGAGGTCCATTATGTACACTGGACAATCATGTAGCTAGGTACATTTGAAGTACATGTTCATGTAGATGTAACTGTATATTTTGTAGGAGTTCGAGATACAATCTGATCTCTTCCAGATAGGTAACTTTGTGATGCATGTTCACCTGTCGTCTTGTTCGTCTCAATTGACTTGAAATTAGTAATGCATGGTAATGACATGCTGTGTGTTATTGTCACGTTGTTATAAATTACTTCTCCTATGTCGACATTGCTAGTAAAATATAATTGTTTCGTTTTTTGTGGTGTGTGCGAGTGCATGTGGTGTCCTTAGGAATGGTCCCACGTGTTCTATGTGCGCTGGAGTGCTGCCAATTATGTACCAGGTCACTGCCCAAAAGGCATGGCTTGGTGCATATTTGGCAGTGCACCAGCGTACGTAGTACGCCTGGGGTCATTCCTAATGGGCATGGGTACGCCGTACCCGGGCATTATCGTCTGATAATGCCCTGGTACGGTGCTGCTCTGATTGGCCAAATGCTAGCAACGACCTGACAACAGGCACGTGACATGTATGAACGGTGCTTCACAGGTGTAGCATTTTTTTTAACTTCCAAAAACTTTTTTATTTTATTTTTTACGTGGGAACTAAACCTCCCTATTATTGTGAGCATGTCATGAAAATAAATCCGAGAAGAAAGAAAAAGGCCCAACCCTGCCCTGGCAGTTATTTGGACTTACGGGGGTCGCCATGGCAAATAATAAATATAAAACTGCACACGTTCGGGCTCTCCGCCTTCTCCGTGAAATTATAATACCGTAAAAGAAAACTAGAGGGGAAAAAGGAGCAACAATAGGGAGGTTCTGCTATACGTGAAACGGAGAGAAATCACGTAGAGAGCAGGTGTCTGGGTTAGAGTCTACGGCTTCGCGTGTTTTGGCTCCAGATTTCTACGCGGAGATGGGGTTCTCTACGTTGTGGCACACGCAGAGAAAATGCGTACGGATTTGCTGGGTATCGATCAACTGCATGCAGAAAACTGCCAAATATGGAAGGGGAAATTTCCAGTACACATTCCACGTGACTTCTCTAGGTGAAACGTAGAGCAGAACACAATTTCTTTACATTACGGGAACGCGAAGAAAGTTTGCGTGATTCTTTGCGTCGCGTTCCCAAAACGTAGAGCAGAACCTCCCTAATGAGGAATAGGAACTGATTTAGGAACCACTTGCAGTCAGTTACACAGGGCAGCGGGCCTCGGCAACGGCCAAGGTAGCAGATGCATCCGCCACATCGCTGACGCGCATGGGGCGTCGCCGAGCACCACGCAAACAAACCATGCTGGAGCGAACCAGAGCAAAGCCAAGGCGGCAGCGAATCCACGCCATTACACGGTTGTACGGCTCCTTCGTCTTGTCGGACAGGAGCACGGCAATCCGCTTATAGCAGGCTGTTGCCGACTTGCCCATGCCGCCTGTTGAGGAGAGAACGAGAGGTGAAAAAGTTGCATGTTTGATATCTCGAACACGCTCCTCATAGCAGCGGCGTTTCTCCCGTTCGTGGCACTGGTAGCAGGAGGGTATTGAGGTGGAGCGATTTGAAGCCGCGAAAGGGTTAAAAACCCGTACGTCGAAGAAAGTGCGGTCAAAACACCCACCCCAGACACCACTAGCTGCTATATCCAGCCTAGGGTGGGGGTCCGTTATGGCAGAGCGGTAGCGGAATGCTTCCCCAGTTACCAGCTGCAGGTGTGGTTCAGTGGTGACGTTGTTGGCGACCCGTTTGAGGAGACCAGCCGTAACATCTCGTACCTCGTTGTGCCTCAGTGAGGGAAACCCACCCAGAGAGCACGACAAGGCGTGGGCGACGGTGAACGATGCACCACACGGGCAGATCGATGGAAGGTGGGCTGGCGGCCAGCCATAGCGGAGCGCAAGGCCATCCCGGAACTCACCCTTCGAGAGGGCAAAGCCATGGGCCTTCAGGGGTGTACAGGTCAGCCAAGCCGACGCACCCTTCTCCGCCGCCAGACCGACACAGAGCTGGATATCAGTGTTCTGCGTCAGGATGAACTCTTTGGCTGCTTGGGCCGTTGAAGTGCGGGTACGACTTGCCATCACCCTCTTCGTGGACCGTACCAGGTCCAGCACATGGCCAATCTGGGTGTCCTGGTCCAGAATCTTGCGGACGAGCGCCGAGGTTATCGCTGCTGATGCCCGAAACTGGTCGCCCAAGGTGGTGGGGTCGACTAAGCCGAGGCCTCCTTCACGGCATGGGAAAGCAAGGACCCTTTGCTCACGTGAGTTTACTGGCTTACCGCACAGGGCAGGAATAAGGACATTGGTGATGGTGTCTCCCAGAGGGCCAAGATTTTCAGCAGCACACTCCATGACTCTGCACAGGAAGGACCAGCGATGCTTCAGGCCTTGCGTGAATCCTGCATAGGCTGCCTGTGGCTGGGTTTCGGCAATCTTGGCCAAGGACACGGCCTTGACAACCAGGACTGATTTCTCAGCATTTGCTGCGTACCCATATGCCGGTCCTTTCTGTCGCAGGATATCCCACCAAGCGCGTAGTCGTTGGACTCTGCCGCCCGCGGAGGAGTCGTCTGCAAACCACATCTGGATCGTTCCCTCAGCCGAGAGAGCACGAATGAGGGGTAGAATGCCCAGCGCATACATCGGCATCGCGATGGGATCGCCTTGGGTGGTGCCCTCTGCCGACATGATGACGCTGCCCCCAACAAACAGCTTTGCGGGTTGTCGGTAGCTGTTAATAACGACTGTCGCCAGGGAGGGCATAGGTGACGCATGTTGCGCAGGCATGCTTCCCTGTTCAGCGTGTTAAAATTTAATGCATTAGTGGCATCTGCCATTAAGACCGCTTCGGTATCCTCCTGGTCGAACGCCTGCTGCATGGCATGTATCGCCGCCTCGATCCCGCAGTCCTGGCCTGCACAGAGTTGAAGGATGCCAGCTGCCTCTTGAATATCCTGACCAATTACGTACAGGATGGCCTTGCCCACCACTCTCTGCATCACCTCGCCAATCCCAATGGGTCTAACCCCCGGGTTCTTGTTGAGGGGGATGAGTCGGGATGCCAGGTACGCTTCCAGCGATCGGGGGTCGACAAATTCGGTCGCCACACGTTGAGCAGAGCTTGCCAGCGCATCGCATAGCGAGTCAGACGCATCGGAGAACATTGTGCACATCCACCTCCATGCCTCAGCGTCTACACCTGACGGGCCGGCTGCGCCATGAGTGTTGAGTACCGCCTTTCTCACCAAATCACGATTGAGACCAGAGAACCTGACCGGATGAGGCTGAGGAGGGGGAACACCTTGTATCAGGGCCTCCGTGGCTAGGGGCGCAGGGTCAGGGTGTTTGTCTTGCAGGACCTCTTGCACTGACTTGTCACCGATGCTGTCATCCAGCGCCAGGGCTCCAGCATTTCCGTTGGGGGCTAGCGATCGTAGGGCGTTGGAAAGCTTCCCACTTGTCACCAGGTTTGCAAAGTGGCGTGCATCATCCTTCTCCTTGTTACCCCCGCGGTGGGGCCGGCTAGGTGCTGTGAGCTCCTCTTGAATCGTTCGGCATTCGTGCAGCAGGTCGTGTAGGTCCCCTCTGTGCCATGCTGCTAGGCAGCGCTGCAGGATATCTGCGGATTTCTCTGCAGGACCTGGCGGCTTCTGCAGCATCAGCATTTGGAATACCATGGCTATTTTCAGAGCTATGCCTTCATATCAGGGAGTCGTAAAATACCGGGAGGCGACACGCCACACATTTCACGATCCGAGGATTGCCGCACTCGACCCGCGAAATTTGAAGCGTGATTGAAACGTCGTCGTCATCTTCTTTTTCTCAATTGTTTTTGCTATATGCTTCGAGGCTATTCTGGATCTCCAGAGCGAAAGCTGGTTGTTTCTGATACGTACCACGCATTACCTTAGGTTGAGCCGTGGCTTTTAATTTTTTTTTGGAAGTTCACTGCTTTGGAGACGACGGAATGTCAAGGTAAGTTATTCACGAAATGTACTCAAATTTGATTTGAGTCAATGCGAATGACACCCTGTTTTCGGAATAGTTCTCCACTAAACACACCATGCCCATGGCCCCTTCATGTTGTCCAAGTTCCATTCTAGGTTTGTGTGAAGTTTCGAGATGAAGTTCGACGATGTACTCACCTTTCCATGGAAGGGAAAAAAAAGTAGCATATCAAACAGAATCCATGCAGTATTTGATGCCACTATCCTCATTCTTCTGCATTCAAAGTGTTTCACATCTATATGGCCCATGAACTGCAAACAATATTTGTCATTTCTTAACTGTTCATAGCTGTTCATAACTGTTCTGAACACATTGCCTTCAGGAAACGTAAGGCCGAGTCGCCTCACCGACTGAGCAAAGTTCTCTGCGACGAAAGTCACACTATCGGCGAATGCACTCAAGGTGAATACCCGTCAATATCCTGTATACTGCTTGTACCGCTTATCACAGTAGCATACACACAAGCACACATACATACACACACACACACACACACACACACACACACACACACACACACACACACATGCATGCTCGTGCACACACAAGCGCAAAATTCACATATCACTGGTTCAGTTGTTTTTATCTGTGTCGTATTTTGTCTTATACAGAGCTTGCATTGCACTCACGGCGTGTTGCTTGTGTGTGTTGAGCATGCTGGGGAACTGGGAATGGGTTATTAAATTAAGCTGGTGAAACAAGGAGCATGCAGCAGGCACAAGTACAAACGTATGCTTCTGCTCTTCATGCTGTGTTGCAGCTATGGGTGCTGCATAGCCATGGTCACGGAGCGGTTGGTCATTTCTGGGCAAGGCTTGATGCTCAGATGTTTGGAGAATGGCTCCAAAATTCTCCAAACAAGGCTGAAGGCTTGTCACGGCATCCTTGCCAAATAAAGGTATAAGCTGCAGCAAGTTGTCGTTGCGACACCTTGCTCCTTCCAGCTTACGCCGCACGGCCACCAAGCACCAACCACCATGGTACTTTTCAGCAAGGTGAGACAAATTGTCAATCACCGGTTCGGGGATGGCTTCAACAGCTTTGGATGTAGCTATTGACGCTTTCCTGATAGCAGCGGCAGCCGTGGCATGCAGGTAGCTTATCAGATTCGCTAGCACTGCAGATGTAACTTCCAAATCTGAAGAAGAGAAAAGAAAAAGACAACATATAAGGACTGGTGGTTGCAGAGACTGTACTAGTATTCAAAAGCCAGCGTTTGCATACCTAGTCTGCATACCTAGTCAGAAGCCAATCTTTTTCCAACATGCATGCAAAACGCACTGACCTTCACAATTGATTTTCACTTCGGGAATAGCTGTTGCGATGACGGACAGCATTTGTTGCCATGCTTGCGAAATATCAGCACCCTTGCATGCATTCAGCTGGCACACTTCCTGGCATAGCAGATTTGCAGTACCTGATGCCTTGTGTAACCGTGTCGTAATAACATGCAGGAATGACTCCGTCGCCTCAGTAACACTCGCCTGTCTCATTGTCAGCAGTTTGCAAATTCCATGGATCACTGCACCTTCCATAGGCCTGTACACCATGATGGCACTACCACTCTTACATCGATCTGCACATAGACAAAGTATGGTTTGAGGATGGAGGTTTACATCATCTACGGTGATGATACATACTAGGTACACACGTAAATTTTCAGGACTTCAATAAATATCCTGTCACAGTGAACAGACAATGCATCGTGGGCAGACTAGGATGAAAAGGATGGTGTCGACCACCTAATTTATCGGGTCAGTTCGGGCACTTCGGTATGCTACAGATTATACATTCGTGTCCACTAGGAAGAGACAAAAACATGCAAACGAAAGAATCTCACCTGTAGCCCACAGCTGAACATCCCCACAACTCAGGTCACCAAGTGAATACGTGGCGTCATCTACATCTTCCACGGTGGACTCATCACTTTGGCAGTCATCTCTGTCAAGCTCCATCATCCTTTACTTCGAAGGCCAAGGCACAAAGTATTATTACTTAGAAAAACAAAACGAACTGCTGACACTGGATTCGTTGTGTGCAGGATAATTTTATTGAGTTTTCAAATTTTTTGGACCAAACAGCGAACGCGTCCTTTTGCATGACCTGCGCCGCTTTGACCTCATGGGAAGTCCCTCGCCATGCAGCGCGTGAGGTCTCAGCACTCGTGCCCGAGCTGAGGCAATCATCCGACGCGGTTGTGCATCTCGTGTCGCCTCCCGGTATTTTACGACTCCCTGCTTCATATGGCCCACTGGTTCCAAAGCACACAATGTAATTGTAGAGTTGGGAAACAAAGAGCTTGCCAGTGGTTCCTCGGGGTACCTACATTGCATTCGGTCTACAGTGTACCACTTCTTCGTACACGTCTTGCACAGCCTGCACAGAATCCAAGTTGGTATTCTCGCCCAGAAGGAATCCCGTAGTGGGGGCAGTAGGGAAATTCGGGAGATCCCGTAGGCCTTCCTCCAGCTCCTGATCTGAGTGTGTCGGGGTCTGTTGCAGCTGGCTCTGATCCAGATTGGCTACGAGGTCGACCTCTTCTGGGGTGGGCACAGGGCTTTCCTGGGACGCACTTGTGCGTGCTTGATGCTGGTCCAGTGTCCTCCACGCATACTGCTGGGAGTCCGACTGAGCGCCGGCAGGAGGCTCGTCCGCTCCGCCCTCCGTAACCACGGTGGTTGGTTGCAGCTGATCTAGTGCTCTCCAAGCAAACTGTTGGGAGTCTGAGGCGGCGCTAGCGGTCTGATCGCCAGTAAATCGAGTGGATTGATTGGCCTCATGGTCAGCCGCCACCTCACCGCTGCACGGCAGATCTACGGGTACGGGAGGCAGGGTGGCGATGAGAGCTGTGGCTGCACTGGCATCCACGCTGGCATCATCGCATTGTACGGTTAGAACTGTTCCCGTAGCGTTGTCCTGCACCGTAGGTTGTCGATGGCCGTTGACAGCTAGCTCCGGCTGGGGAGGAGAAGGGATGGCGGAATTTTTACAACAATCCTTCTTTGACGGAAGGCAGCTCCAGCATTTCCTTGGTGCAGTCACACCTGACGCAGGTGCCGTTGCCGTTGCACCGGCAACACTGGCCACTCTGCATCAGGGTGAGTTGCGAACGGGGCGCCAGAAACCAGGTCCGAGTGAGACCTCAAACTCCCATCCGCGATCCGTCATCCGTCACAAAGCATTTTATCAGTCATTAAAAACAAACGTACTTCTGTGCGTATCTCGCGCCAGGATGGAACAGCACTGCAGATGCAAATTTCGCGCCAACGGATTCACGTGACCATACAGGACTGTAGAAGTGGACTTTCTCGAGCCAGACCTGCAACGCACCCTACAGCTTGCCTCGGAGAAAGGCGCCTCAAGTTGGCTGACATGTCGGCCATTGCGAAGGCATGGCTTCACCCTGCACAAGGGCGCCTTCCGCGATGCCATATGCCTCAGGTATGGATGGGATCCTGATCGCTTACCTGCAACATGCGCGTGTGGAAAGCCATTCTTGACCACCCATGCCATGTCATGTGCCATCGGTGGCTATCCCTCGTTACGGCACAACGAGGTCCGAGACCTAACAGCAGCACTGCTACGCGACGTCGCACATGATGTTCATGTTGAGCCGCACCTCCAGCCTGTGACCGGTGAGCGCTTTCCGCTGCGGTCCACCATCACGGCAGAACAAGCTCGGCTGGATGTAGTTGTCAGCGGTCTACACGGTGGACGGTTTGAGAGGACCTTTCTAGATGTCCGGGTTTTCAACCCATTTGCCCCCTCAAATCGGAAACCAACGATCGCTGGCAGCTACAGAAAGCACGAAGAGGATAAACGGAGGAGTTATGAGAGTCGCATTCTCAACGTTGAGCACGCTTCCTTCATCCCCGTGGTGTTCAGTGCGACTGGTGGCCAAGGGAAGGCAGCCTCCACTCTCTTTGGCCGCATTGCAGGCATCAAGTCTGAGAAGAATGGTGAGCCTTTCTCTGTGGCAATGGCTTTGATCAGAGCCCAGCTGTCCTTTGCTCTCGTGAAGGCGGCCGTGGCATGCCTTCGTGGGCATCGACACAAGTCGAGCAGGTATGACCCTCATGCATATTCTGCCACACTTGCTGTCTCCGAGTGTCATCTGTAGACAACCTGTCTGTTTCCCGCAGTTTTTCCCCTTTCTCTCTGTATCATTTTGTATGTTATAATTTCCGCGAATTCCAGTTTTTCTCCCTTCATTATAATTTAAGCGCAGTTTAGCGCGTATTGGCTTATGATTTCTTTTTCTTCTGTTTGTATTTAGCGCTTGACCGATTATTATTTTCCTTCTCTTTATTTTGCGCTACATATTATTATTTTTCTGTTAATAATCGAATCATAAAATATAAAAAATATAAAAAATGAATAAAAAGTGGACTTTTGGCGGCATATCAGTATTTGACCCGGGTCAACTGTCTTCATGTAAACGCTCACCTCTTTTGTTTGTCGTACAGACTTTCAACCCGGGCTGAACTCGACCCGGGTTGAAATTTCTCATGTAAACACAGCCTACATAACTGCATCCGGTAGGACGTTCCAAAGGGCACTACCTCGAGAGGCAGGGCGAGGTCGTCCGGCGCGGGTTCGTGTAGCTGGTAGACCGAGTCCCAGGGCGAGATCCAGGCGCTTCCTACGATCCGCGCAGCGTGCGAAGAGCCCCTGGAGGGATTTTTCTTTTTTTTAAACTATTATTCACAAACCCAACTCGTAAAATAAATAGTTATGTGGACAAAAACAAACAGCTACTGAACAGGGGCTGCACTGGGGATGGACTCGCACTGGCGTGTATGCACCTCCAGACAAAGACCAGGACCTTCTGCCGATGTACTTCTCCAATCCTGAACACCTGCATGCGTTCCAGGAGATCACTGGCACGAGAGAACACCGGCCGGCCATAAACTGCTCTTGCCCCACGGTTTTGTGCTACTTGGAGCTGGTCGGTCTGGGCCTGAGTGAGACCTGGGCTAAACGCAACGGACCCATACAGTAGATCCGGCATGATAGCTGCCTTGAAGAACAGCACACGGCTAGCAAGTGTTAGCGACTTTCGTGTCCGCCACAGAGTTTCAATTTTCTTATTGGCTTTCGTGATGCTCGCATCGACCTGGGGCTGCCATGACATGCGTACATCCAAGATGATGCCAAGGTAGCGGGCACTGGTGAAGCTTGGCACGGGTATGCCTGTTCTTCCGCATAGTGAGCTGATTCAGCTCTCTGTCCGACCACGGTGGTTCGCTTGGGCGTTTCCGGCTTTGCTTGCAAGTGAATGGAGCATGGCGATCCAGAACAGTTATAAACTTTGAATGCCAGTCTTGCCACATTTCATCCACGTTAGCCTGCGCAGGAAAAGCATACAAGTTTGCAGCAGTAAGGTCATTTCGGAAGTCATTTATATTGATGTTGAGGAGATTTCGGGTGGATGTAGCCGGCTTACTGGTCGACTGCTTGGGCACGGAAATGTTCAGCTTGGCAAGAACTGCAAAGTGGTCACTGATCGTGCACTGAATGACATGGCACATCGCTACTGTTTCGGGACGGGCTAGGATTAGGTCGATTACGGTACCTTGGGGGCAGTCGGGCGTCACGCGCGTGGCACTATCCACGTGGTTTGCCAGACCATATGCAACTGCCAAGTCAAATAGATGGCGAGTTTGATAGAGTGTCCTGCTGGTATCAATACCAGGCGGTCTGGCATTCGTGTTGAAATCGCCGAGGAGAGTTATCGATGGGGTTATCCGTGAGGCTCCGTCAAGCGCTCTCTCTAGTTGGGTCCAAAAGCTGATAGGCTCAGTCGGTGGGCGGTAGACACAAGCAAATACATGGTGGGCTGTCCCAGAATTCGTTGTCTGTAACCAAAGAGCTTCCAGGCCATCCTGCGCAAGGTCCAGCCGAGGTTGGAGAGCAAGAGATGAGCGATAGTAGACTGATGCCACGCCGCCTCCTGGGCGCCCACGGTCAAGTCTCATGAGGGAGTAGTCTGGGATGACTAGTTCTCCATTACTGATAGTCTCATCCAGCCATATCTCTGCAAGGCCAATAACGTCGATCTGGGAGCTATCTAGGAGTGCCTTAATTTCATGTGTCTTGTGTCGCAGACTGCAAACATTTAGGAATGCAATTGTCAAGGGAGTTGACCTATTTTGTGGGGTACAGTGCCTGGTGAAAATGGTGATGCATAGGAGAAAACTTGCGTGACACAATACAAAGCAATCAAAACGAAGATAAAGAACAATCGTGCGAGCGAAGAATCAATCTATGGGCTACGGCGCCAGATCCTCGGCTGTGAGCGGATTCTGATGGGCTTCTTGGCTTTCCTTTCCTTCCTGGTACGAACATCTGTGAAAGCTTCAGAATCAGAGCCACCATTCTCGTCTTCCATTAAGGAGCCGACATCTTCCCAGCTTCTATTTTCCGGGAGCTCATCCGCCGACGACTTGACCTTGTCGCAACTGTTTTCATCTTCAACAGTTTGTGTATGTCCGTCCTTGCGGGGGTCTGGTTCTTGCGCGTCCCAGCTGATCTTGTGCTAGGCGTCCCATTGACCTTGTCAGGTACGGTGGACTGGCCCGCACTGGCGCCAACATCAACTGCTACAGTTTCTGTGTGAGGGCTTTCATGTATATGTTCTTGGCTTGGCTAGAAGGCACAGCCTTCCGCAGGGAAACTTTGACATACCTGGTCCCCTTGTCAACTGCAAAGCCCTCATGGTTAACAATTTTGCTCTTTGGAGGACCATGGACCCGACCATAGAGTGAAATTTCATGCACAAGAGCACCATCTTGCAATGACACGGGGCATCCGAATACATGGAAAGTCGTAACTGACATGCCTCCCATTACAACCTCGACATTCTTACTGGCAAATACGAATTCTTCCTCTGACGTCAACAGGCGGTCGCGCACTCCTTGCGTGACGAAGGTGACATTGCACCAGCCAGGCTTCCCGTTTAGGTCCAGTTGGCTGAGTTCGGAGGGCTGAACACCCAGTCTAGACAGCTCCTTGATAAAAAATACATGGTCCAAAGGCCAGTCCTTGTGGACCCTAAACATAAATGAGGCAAGAGCAGGAGCTCCAGAAGTGCTCCCGTCCTCCATCGTGAATGCGTGTGCCACAATGTAGAGAACCTCATCTCCGCGTAGAAATCTGGAGCCAAAACACGCGAAGCCGTAGACTCTAACCCAGACACCTGCCCTCTAGGTGATTTCTCTACGTTTCAC